TATTATTATTATTATTATTATTATTATTATAAATGTACTTTAAAGAGAGAGAAAAAACACAAAAGCGGAAGCAGTTTATCAACGGGATTTCTCCGTATGATAAACTCCAGCGCTGTTAAAAGGAGGTTAATCTGAATGGAAATTAGACAAAAACTGCTTCTTTTTACTTTCGGGATCTTCCAAAAGTAAAAAGCAGTTTTTGTCTAATTTCGGTTCAGATTAACCTCCTTTTAACAGCGACGTCGTCTGAAAAAACACCCGCTTTTGCGGGTTTTGTTTAATTTAAAGCCCCGTTATCACACGTTTCCCCCGTGTGATAAACTCCTTAATCTGGGAATTTCCTAACTTTCCCTAGTTGCAAAACCAAGCACACCCTCTGTCCTTCAAACTTAACTTGAGCTCTATCCAAACTGTACAATTATAATACTTGGATGACACTTCAACTGCCATGTCTCCATCCTATGTAATCTTATTTGTTCTTTGATGAGGTACTTAAACTTCTCTACTGGAGGGGTTAATTCATTCTCCTGAACAACATCACTAGAGCTTTGTTTCTGTTTTATGTATAATCGAATTCTATACAACAAATTCCGAAATATGAAAAATCTCATGACAGTTGACCATTGACAGGATTTCTTGGTGTGTTGAGTCATCCTTTCTTATTGAGACTGAGAAAATTTGTGTTTGTAGCATATGGTTTCCCCTTCCCCATGACTGTTTTATTTTATTTTATTTTTACTTTATTATTTCAGGAAGATGTTTTAACCTAATAAGGTGGCTTACAAAGTAGAAATAAGGTGGACAATTTAGGTTGGAAGATGGAGTGGAATTGCTTCTAGATCAGCTGGTTGTAGAAATGAGCATAAAAGCCAACTTGGTAAATGAACCCATCAAACCAGGTGATAACCAAAAGCTTAAGTGGGGATTTTTGACAGTCAGCAGAATGCACCCAGCAACTGCAGCAGTTACTCTCACATCCCATGTGGCTTTAACTACAGTGCACATTATGGAGACATTTTCCCCCCAGATAAACACTATCACTAGAACTAGTAAAAGGCTTACAGCCAGCTCATTTTTCCCCAGGTCTTGTACCACTGCTGCTAGGCCTTGTACAACAAAAAACTATGTGCTGATGCTCTACTCCCTGCTGTGCTCCAAATGGTATAAAACTGCCCTTTTCACCAGTCCCCTCCTGTTACTTTTGTTTCATGCTCTCATGTTGTATAAGTGTAACACACATACAAAGTGTTCAGCATTGCACTGAACCAGAGAGCCCTAATGCCTCCTTGTAACACTGCTCAGGTTTTAAAATAAGCCCGTATAACAAAACCAGGCATTCTTATCCTCCTGTGATGATCACACTGAGATTTATTTCCCCAACTGGGGAAGCACCACAATTCCAAAAGACTTCAGTTGGTATTCTGAGGGCTGGCTATTTTAGCCAGTACTGTGTTCCCCGCATGAATAAGAGAAGATGTCCAATGGCACTGTGTGCCTAGATCTTCCTCCTTGAAGCAGATTGTTATGGTTCTTGTCCTTGATTGATTGATTACATGTATATTCCCTAAGCATAAGGAATGAATGATGAATGTGGGTCTCAAACCTCTATGATACCACTGATCTGCCCATATAACCCTGATCCTAGTAACCTCCAAATTGTAAGTCAGGCTTCTATCTTCTGGGAGGAGACATACTTTTAAAATCAGGGAATAAGCCTTCCAACTGGGAAAGTGAGGAAAAGGTGAAGGTAGCTTTGAGGAAGACTGTAGCAGTAATGGAGGATGAGACCTATGACCAGAACATCTCCTTGCTCCAGTGTTCTTTGTTGTTGTGTGCCTTCGTGTCATTTCCGACTTATGGTGATCCTATCATGAGGATTTCTTGGCAAGATTTATTCAGAGGAGGTTTGCCATTGCCTTTCCCTGAGGCTGAGAGCATATGACCTTGGGGTCACCAAGTGGTTTTTATGGCTGATCTGAGAATCGAACCCTGGTCTCCAGAGTTGTAGTCCAATACTCAAACCATTATGTCACACAGACTCGCTACAGCATGCAATATTCTTACCAGTAGTAAACTCCTGTCTAAGAACATGGTCTCACCATTTCAGAATTCTAAGAGATCAATCTTGTTCACTTTTCCTAGACAGAGCTAGTTGAAAAGAACAGCCTATTCCTCACTGAGCCACTTTTGCTGATGTCAGTTTTCTAGCTGAATTACTGTGCAGACCTGGCCCTCTGCCACACATTGCACTTCCTCTTGTTGACTGACAGGCAGTGCTGACAGATGGGAGGACAGAGCTTAGTGCAAAGCAGCAGCAGGACTTTGGAAGTAATTCCTGTAATAGCAGGAAAGTCGCAAGGCTTAAAAGCATTATTTTCCCATACCTCATCTCTTTGAGTCTAGGTGAAAGTCAAAATAGATTCTAAGAGATGAGGGGACTACAGACCAAAAGAACAAATTTCATCAGATTGCTCAGAGGTCACATACACTCTGTGGAGGAAGAAAAAGAGGGTGCCAAGTCTCAAGACCATGTGGAAATTACAACATTACCCGACTCAATGGTTAAGGCCTTCTCTGCTGCTAGCTTCAGAGTCTGCCTTTCTTTGAAAGAGAAAAAACTTGTCAGGAGAAAGAAATATGCATCCCCTTGCAACCTCACAACAATAATCATTGTGCAAATGAAGGCATTTTGCCAAGGGCCTATGATTGTGACCCACAAAGGTCTTAATTTTGATCCCATTTGTCTTCTTGTCTATAATCACTTTTTGAAGGGATAATGCATTAGATATAGAAAACAGTGGACAAGCTAGGTTCAAGTGAATTGGTCTTAATCCCCCCCCCCCCATGCTTTGTAAACTACCTTAAGAAATTACACCTTGAAGTGGTGTGTTGAAAATGTTCAAGAGCAGTAATGGGGGGGGGTCAATATCCAAAAGTGGGCTGCGTTCCCATCTTTAGTGAGCCTTCCTAGTGGTGTCATCACCAATCCTGAAGAAAGGCCTTTTTTCTGTTTTGATTTTGTTCTTTCACAAAGCAACAGAGCCATATGACAGAAAGAGCCCAGGCACTGTGGGAACCTTGGCTGCCTGTGTACAAGTAGTGCATAGTGTCCAATTCTTTCCTACCTGCAGCAGGAGGGACTCAAGAAACCATGGACTTTGGGTCTGTGGTTTCCATACTGTAGTATCCAAACTGAGCATTTGTTGAAAACTGTTTCTCCATTCCCACAAGCCAAAGAAAGAAACCATAAAACTAAATATGGGTTCTCTGCCTGGTTTGTTAGGAGAGAAACAAGCAAGAGTGCTGGCTGCTTCCAGGTTCAACCATAATTTTGGTCTGTGGTTTGTTAGCTACTCCCACAATTCCATGATTTATTGTGATGTCCAAGCATAGCTAGAAGGACAAAGAAATCAAAGATATGTTTCCATTAATTGTAATTATGTTACAGGCCAGAAAAGGGGAGACAACTGTTAGAACTGTCAAAATTCAACCTTCCTCCTATCTATCTATCTATCTATCTATATATCTATCCTTCCTTCCTTCCTTTCTCTCTCTCTCTCTCTGTGTGCTTTAAACTGTAGAAATAATACAGTTTGACAGCTCTTTAAATGCTGTAGCTCCATCCTATGGAATCTTGGGATTTGTAGTTCTATAGGGTCTGCCAGAGTGCTGACGCCTCGCAAAACTACAAATCCCAAGATTCTGTAAGATGGAGCCATGGCAATTAAAAGTGTGTCAAACTGCATTATTTCTACAGCATAAATGCACCCTCATCTTCCCAATCCCCCCCCCCCAGCATACTTCTCAAAGTTACAAAAACACTGTCCTCCTTTGCATTTGGGCATCTGAAAGAAAGAAAAAAAGTTGTGAAACATTTGAAAACTAGACCGCACATTAAAGGCAAGAGAGGTTGTGGTTCTGAGAATCTGAAATGGTAGGCCCATTGTTCTAGTGAGCCTCCAGATCAAATTAAACTCAGACACATTCTTAACTGTCAGAAGGCAATTTCCATCTCGGATGAGTGGACAATATTGATTCAGTGTCAGACAGCAGGAGCCAAACAGCAAGCTCCTTTATAGCAGTGAAGGACGGTGGAAGTTGTCTACTTATTCCTTTCACATATTTTTATTTTTTCATCAAAGGGGGCCAGCAAGGACCTGCAGTCACCCTTGCATGCTCTGCATCCTGCTTTGCAGACTCACAGTCACTGTTTCAGCTCCTTTGCATATGGTCCTCATGAAGGAGAGACTCAGAAGAAAAATTAATGAAATCACATTTGACAGACACATATATATAACCACATCTACTCACTCAGTTACTAGTGCATGGCATCTCACAAATATGCCATGGAACATTGTTACCATTTGTTGGCATAATATTTCTTGTGGGTACGCAGATCCTGAGTCCACTCTTACAGACTCAGAGATATTTCTGTAGAAGAAAAAGTGTCTATTAAAATAGTTTGCAGCAGCAAAGCTACATGCACTTACCTAATAATAAGTCTCACAGGGTGTAACTTTGAATAACTGTACTCTTATAGAATCAGGCTGCAAATCTACAGGTGTTACAGGGCAACTGAACCACTTTAAGCAGCTGGTTTGGACTCATTTGATAAACAGAAATGAGAATTACAAATCAGAACTTTGCCAAAAATAGTTCATTTCTCCTGATAAATTGCATTAATTAGACAGAAAACACTATTTAATATGATCAAGAAAAAATTAAATTTTGAAACCAAACATTCTTGACATGACATATTTTAATAGATATTTCCATTTTTATGATTCTAGAACACAGTACATTTCAGAGTGTATGTTTTCCTCTCTTCTGATACACAGCTTCATTTATTGCCAAATTTAATGTAACTACAACCATTTATTTGAATTAAAAGAGGGGGGGAACCACCACCCAACACACAGAGGAAATCATGTAGCACAATTAATTATAATTTTGCTGTAGTATTTAATCTAGTTTTGTTGCATGACTGTGTAAACAGATCAGCCTTCCAGTGATTTTGTTGTGGCAGAGGAATGTCATCTGTTTGGTTCAGCACAAGGCTATACATTTTTGGCAGCTTTTATTTATTTTTAATGCAACCTTTTACACGTTAATAAACTGCTATGTGGGTGGCAGTAGGAACAAGCAGAGCAAATTGTTTTGTCTGGATGTGAAAATCCAGCAGTCTGATGAATAATGATCTTAAAACTAATGGAGCTGTGTCATGAAAAAGTGAGTATCCAGATCATTAATTTAAATAACACTTCCCTTTTACATCCTTCATCTGGAGATCCCTTTCTCCAGTTCTCTAGCATTCATATACATTGCTATGCACAGTGATCTATGCAGGTGTAACCAGCCAACAGATGGTGAAATCATTCATTTTGATTTAATTGATCACCAGTTTCATCCACGGGAGGGGTCTCACTCAATGAGAGGACTCAGCACAGAACTGGACTGTGTGTCTAGACCTATTCAGATATTCAGCAAACTTTAAGGATGAAGAAGAAAGAGGGGACACATGCTCCAATCCCACACCCTTTACATCCATCATCTCTGTGTTAACAAGAAAGATTTAGAGAAAAATTCTAATCCCACACAATCAGCATTCCATCCTGATCACATGGAACACTGTAACCATGTTCAGCCAAATGGCTGAATATTAGGGGCACTCTTTGTGTTCAGACAAATCCCCATCCTGAATTGCATAGGGATAATTCAGAGAGATGTGGGAAATGGCCAGACTGAGAAGGGACATCTCAAATATGTTAGCAATTTCAGAGGATACAAAATATACACAGTTGTCTTCTTTCAGATGGGGCAAATGTGTTGGGAGTTTGCAGTATTTGTTGTTGTAATTCTCAAAGGTTTTTTTTTAAAAAAAATATCCAAATGATATTTCTATTATCTTAGACAGTTTTGGGGGAATTAACATCACCAGCTACTTCTCTTTCCCAAAAACAGGAATTAAAATCTTAGATAAAGTGCAGCTGGCCCTTCATATTCATGGATTCTTTATCCACAGCTTGAAAATATTCCAGAAATATATACACCTTTAAAAAAAACACCTTGATTTTGATATTTTATATAAGGAACATCATTTTACTGTGCCATTATATATAAGGAAACCTGAGAATCCATGGATTTTTTTTTATCTACAGGGGGTCCTGGTACCAAAACCCAGTGGATAGCAAAGATCCACTGTATATGTTAGGGGCTGTACAGACTGCCTGAAATGGGTGGTGGCAAGCTGCCCCTTTGTTTGGCTGATTGGGGCCAAGGCAACTGCACACCGTGGCCCCGATCTGGTGCTTTGCTGCTCTAAAAAGAGCTGGCAAATGCTGCTCCTTTTTAGAGAGGCAAAAAGGCACTTTTTCTGTGGCAGCAGCAGCTTTTCAGCACTCCTTTGGCACAGCATGCCAGGGAGTGCCCTGACACTTCCCGCCATAAGGTGGGGCATACAGTGTGAAGAGTGGTGGTCAACATGCCCCCACTCTGCCCCCAGGCCAGCTATTTATACTGGTCTGTTCAGCCCCTTAGTTTGCAAGACTAAAGCAAGGTTGTCAGTAACAGGATCTTTGGGTGTTCACTTGTTAATAAGTGTTGTTGTAAGTTCTTTATAAGTGTGGTTGTAAATTGAAGCCAACATGATAACACATCACCACAGCAGCAGCAACAACAACAAATGAATCAGGTACGGCCATCAAGGTATATAATTATAAAGTCTATCCTAATCATATGTAAAAAGATATACATGCTATTCTTAATCATATGGAAGCAAAATGGCAACTCCCATTTTACTGAAGCTTTTGTGTACAGGCTGCAGTTGGATTAGCTTTTAGTCTTAGTAGCAGGATAATTCATTCAAGGGTCTCTTGGAGTCAGTTTCAGTAGGATAGTAAAGGCTGTTAGTCAGTGGAGATTTTGGTACATGGTCCCTTGGCAAAGGTGATATAGAACACAATAAACCTGGGTGTGGAGAAATCCACTATATGCCTGGGATTTTCTTTTCTTTCTTTTCAATGACCTCTCTCCTTTCCCC